AAATGCCTGAAGATTATGCACAAATGATGCAGAGGTGTTGGGATGTGGATCCATCAAAAAGACCAACTAGTAGAGAGATTTGGTACTTTGCTTATGATATACGTAATGAAATTTTTAAAATTAATGATAATAATAATAATATTAATATCAGTAATAATACTACTAGTTGTTGTAGTAGTGGTTCGCAACAAGCACACAAATCACATCCAGAGGCATATCATACAAGTAGAATATTAGATGAAGAGATTGCTAAATCTAAAAGCTTGAAAATTTATACAAGTAATGATAGTTCGTTAAATAGTCTTGATTTTAATTCTCTCCTCTAGAATGTCAAAGGTGAATAAAAAATTTAATTAATTAATTGGAACTTACTATCCATTAATTATTACTAACAATATTTTTTAATTGCATTTGATTTCAATAATTAAAAGAAAGAATCGATAAATGACTTGCACTATAAATTATTCGTTATCTTTTTACTTTATCTTTATTTTATTTCTTAAAGCTAAATCACTTTGAAATAATAAACTTTTCACAATTTTTTGATTCTTGTTAAATGGTGATATTGCAAGGTATCATTTCACTTAATACCGATTATTTAACAAGTGTGGCTGATTATGCAGGCAATTTGCAAATAATTTGGTGCTTGTCAATTAATTAGTTTACGAATTTACTTTTGTTTCTCGATTACTGCACCTAGACGAAACTGTGAGCACACTTGATGGTACCAGATAACTGTAAATCAATAAATATGGTCTTTTACAAAGTTCAAGGGCTTCGATTTATTTCAGTCGTTCGCCCTTGTTTACATTCATTGGCCGATTGCAAACTCGCTTTGATTTACTTGCAAATAAACTTAAATAGCTTGTTTAACAGCCTTACATTTAACACTACCAGTATTTCCGATTAACCTTTGGACAATACTTCATTAACACCCACCAGTTAACCAACGTTAGTTTTTGCTTACTCACTAAATCGAATCACGTTACTAAACGCTGTTAACAGCCATTAGTTAACCAACGTTAATCCTAACCTTGCTTACTCACCAAAGCAAATAAAACGTGGCTTTCTACCAAAGCTCCACAATTTTTACCTTTTACCAAGGAACTACATTTGTTGCTTTTAAAACAAAGAAAATAAAAACAGCATTTTAATTTGTTTTTCCTTGATTGACAATCCATTTTGTGCATTTTTACATTTTACAAAAGAATTTACTTGAATCTTTTTTGGTATTATTATTGTTTTTCATTCCTTAAAAGGATTACGAGTTTTAATAATCTAAATTCAGAATTGTTGTAATTCTTGGTGGATGGATGTCGTCCATATTATTGTATTTAAAATTTTCAGGCAGGATTCGACAGAAGCAGACAGTTTGTTTCACCTTCAGAGATCATTGTCCACATCACGAGGATAGCAAATATGGCCTGCATAGGCGGAAAAGAATTATTGTATGTAATCACAATCCAATCTAATAATAATGGTAATACGTTGATATGGAAAAAGAAATTTTTTTACTTCGGATCTCAAGGATCATTTAAGACGATATTATTTGTCTCTTCCTTCATTTCTGCCCAAGTAACAATATTACTACTATGAATTCACGTGTAAAAAGTAGGCATTTTAATGTTTTTATCAAACGGTTAGTTGTCTATCAAACTTGAAGTTGATTATAATGTTTTTTACATTGCTACAAATCAAGTAAACAAAAAATTTATAAAACATTTGTTTTTTGAATGATCATGAAAGTTTTTGATTAATAATTCAACCTATGTTCACTTTGTTACAACATATGTTAATTCTCGTTGGCTGTTTTCAAATCTTTAAATTGTAGCACACATTATTACATCTCTTTCTAAATTTATTGAATCTCGCAACGATTTGACAAACTTCAAAGTCACGGAGCTAAACATCCAATTGATAATGGGATAATAAACTTCATAATTTTTTCTGAATAATACTAATTTGGTGATTATTATGTTTTTTTCTGTCATTTGTATTGTTTGAATCTCTTTTAGACTATTAATGATTGGTTGGAGGTGTCAAATATTGAATTGCTCTTATGAAAAATGTAGAGATTTATTAACAAAATTTTCCAAAAAAGTCAATCAATAAAAAACTTATCGAGTAACTTATAGAACTGTTGCTCAAAAAAAAACAAATTAAATTGTACAAAATTCATTAACAAGTTTGATTGATGATGTCGATAAATTAGACCACAAAATCATATTACTATTTATTGCAAGTTTGAACCTTTTATTTCTACAAATTGGCTTGACCCGGGATAATTTGGAATATTTAATTGATATTTTGTATCCATTTCTCTAATCATTTTATACACACATATATAAGTATATTAAAAATAACATTTTTTAAATTAAAGTGAAACTTACGGTGTAATAAATCTTCCACCAAGAAAATGTCTACCATTAAATTGTTTTACACCAAGCTTTGGTGCGGTAAGAGAAATCAACATTGATGGAGTAAAACCAACATTATCAACATTACCTATAAAATCATAAATATAAGTTATTATTATAGGCTTTTATTTTTTTATTGTATAATTTAATTAATTTACCTTTCTCAACATCCCAAGCTGATGGAATATCAACTTATATATATGTGTGTGCGTGTGAAAATATTATTAATTAGATATTTAATTAATTAAACAAATGTTAAATATATGAAAATAACATATAACTAACTGATACCTACTCGAAACAATTGGAAGCTTTGTATTTTTTAGTATCTTTACACACATATATATGTGTGTATATATATACATTATATATGCAATATATATATAAATATAATTATAAAATATTTCTTCCACTCAAGAAAAAAATATATTATCATTTACCTGAATATCATTTTTAAAAGGATCTCTCACTTCGCCCTGAAAACTAAAACCTATTAATAATTATATGTATGTGTAGAATTTGTTACTTTAATTTAATGTTTAATCGACAACCTATTATTAATAATATTATCACCATTTACCAAATATAGCGTCTATCACAAGATCACTCTTTTCTAAATGATCGTGTAAATTATTTGAAATTGCAATTTGAAGATTTTTACATTGTTGAACTAATCTCTATGATGGAGGCAAATAATCATTAATGATAAAGCAATATAATTTTCAAAAGTAATAAAAAAATTTATTTAAAAACCTGATATAATTCTTTATTAGTTTGTTTTGGATAATAAATCTTGGGTTGATAACCAAAATGTGAAAGATGCCTTGCTGCAACTAAACCTTTTTTCCAAAAAAAAATATATTTATACATGCATACTCGAACGCACGAATCTTTTGATCTTTCGTTATATTACCATCTCCGCCATTATTTCCTGGACCACAACAAACCAAAATACGTGAATGGTTTGATTTATCATAAACATGAGCAACCGCTTGAGCAATACTTAATCCTGCAAGTTCCATCAACTTTTTTTTATTATTGGTTAATTAAAAAACATTAAAAAATTAATTATTGATATTTTTGTACAATAAAGACATTTCTTATGAATAAATATGTGCATTTATGATTAATTATATATGAACCTGATCAATTGAAAAGCCACCACCAGCTGGTGACATTAATTCTTGATCAATTGTTTGAGCAATTTTTTGAGATAAATACTACGCATAAAGAATTTTTTTAAATAAAATGTTCGAGTACAGTGTATACATATGTATAAATTCATAAATTACTACTACACCTTCAAAGACATGTTCCTATTTTATTTTTAAAAAAATCAAAAGTGAATAAATTATTTTAATATTAAGCTATACGCGATTAGTCAATTCAAATTTACCCTAATTCGTAATTGTCACATTGCAGTAATAATTTTTTTTTTAATTGTATAGATCATTTTTTATTATTATCAAGAATGAGTTTTTTAGAGCTTGACCTTCAAGCTCCAGGCACACCATACAAAGAATTTTGCTTGACCTTTTCTTGGGCTGTGTATACGTTTGAACAGTATTTAAGGTGATTAATTACAATAACAATAATAATGCTTTTTTTAACGTTGATTTAAAAAATTTTTTTCTATTCAGCCTTTCGGTCTTTACAATTATTTTAAAATTTATGATTATTTTTTAATAGTTATCGACAATATCTTAAAATTAAAGAACCTAAGCCACCAAAATCTTTACAACATATAGAAGAAGTCATTAAAAAGTTCTCTAAAACACAAGAGTATAGTTTGGATAAAGCTAGATTTTCATTTGTATCAACTCTGATAAGTCAAATACAAAGTACATGGATAATTGTATTTGACATTCTTCCATGGCTATGGTCTCTTTCAGGTGATTGGTTGGAGTATGCTGGATATGAGAAAGATTATGAGGTTATTGATTGATTAATTAATTATTATGTTTTCTATAACAAAAAAAAAAGTGATAATAACAAGCTTTAATTTCATTGTTAATTATTATCGAATTTGTTGAAAAGATTACACATTCGTTGGTTTTCACGGTGGTCTTTATCTTAATGACTTATTTGATGTCACTTCCATTTAGTCTTTACTATACATTTGTTATCGAAGAACGTCATGGGTTTAATAAAATGACAGTAGGACTGTTTTTTATGGATATGATTAAAGGCTTTTTAATTGCAGGAGTTATAGGATTACCAATTTTGGCATTACTTTTGCAAATAATCAAGTGGAGCGGAGATGCTTTTTATTTTTATGTATGGATATTTACGTAAGATTTTCAAATGTTTTCAGTGTGTGTTTTTCTAAAGAGAATAATTATATACATACGCATATGATATATATATATACGCTATTTTTTAAATAATTTTTTAGGATAATTATCAACTTTGTCTTACTCACAATATATCCAACGCTTATTCAACCTTTATTTAATAAAGTAACTCCGCTGCCAAAAGAAGAACTTCGTTCACAAATCGAAGCTTTAGCTTCTCGTGTCTCATTTCCTCTTAAAAAATTATATGTAATTGATGGTAGTAAAAGATCAAGTCATTCAAATGCTTACTTTTATGGATTTTTTAAAAACAAAAGAATTGTTTTATATGACACTTTAATTGAACAAGCTGATACTGAAGAAATACTGGCAGTAGTGTGTGAGTTCACTATCATAATAATAATGTCCTTTTGTTGTTTACTTGGATTAAGATTATTTTCTAATAAATTTCTATTTATTAGGTCATGAACTGGGACATTGGTCTTTAAATCACACTGTCAAAGTTTTAATCATCTCTCAACTTCATAGTTTTTTAATCTTCTTTTTGTTTTCATTATTCATTCATAATACTGCATTATATCAGTCATTTGGATTTACAACACAACCAACTTTAATAGGCTTCATGCTTTTTCAATTCATCTACTCACCAATTGATAATGCAATATCGTTTTTCATGAATATTCTAAGTAGGAAACATGAATTTGAGGCTGGTTAGTAATCGTTTATAATAATAATAAATCTTTTTTATTTTTTTAAAAAAAAAGTGATTAAATATTCTTTTTCTTTTTTTGATCAGATGCATATGCAAAAAAATTGGGTTATGGAGCTCAGCTTCGCTCAGGTTTAATTAAATTACAAATAGAAAACTTGAGTAATTTGAACAACGATTCTTGGTATTCTGCATATCACTTCTCGCATCCACCTTTACCAGAAAGATTAAACGCGTTGGAGAAGATTGAATGAAAAATCATTTATTTATATATTATTTGAAAGTTTATAACAAATTTTTTATTATTATTATTAAAAAAAAATTAGTTGCATCAGTTTTACCTCAAATATTTACCAAAAGATTATTACTACTTATTGCTTATTCAACTAATATAATTTTTTAAGAAACAATTTAAACATTTGTTATTATTTTTTATTTTAAAGTATATTAATCATTAATACCTTTACCCTCTTCGTATTACTCCATTTTGATTTGGAATCTTTGGCCCTTGTAAGTTGAACTATTCGTGGAACTTTGCACGTGATAATATATATAAATACAAAAAACTTACAAATTTAACAATGAATGCCTTGAAAGACACTACAGTTACAGGCAGAAGGTACATTAAATATTATTATCATCATGATCATTATTGAAAAATATAAATAAATAAATCTTTTGTTTAAATAAAATCAGATATTGTTAATTTGCTTGTTGTAATTATCATTATCAATACAAATCAAATAAATATGGGCATCAAACAATTCAATCAATATTCATATTCAAAAGACATTAATATTCGCAGAATTAAAAATAAAGTTGTCTTTGAAGTCATTGAGAAATTAGAACAAAGTGCTAAAGACTTAGCTGAAGCAATAAATACAGCTGAAGCATGAAAAAATTGACAAAAAGGTCTTTTGAATGATGAAATCAAAGAAAAATTGCTAATGCTCCAAAAGTCTGATAAAATGCTTGAAGAGGAAATAAACAAAGAATGCAAAGTTGCAAGAAGAATTAGCCCAAAAATTAGAAATGTTAAGAAATATTGATTGGAGATTTGAGGATGAAGCAAAAGAAAAAGAAGAATTAAAAACATAACTATATTTGGAAAGAAAACCCTTACCCTCTCTTCCTAAAGAAGTAGAAAGTAGGACTTTAAATAAACAAAGCATTTTCAAGCAATTAAAAACAAAAACAAAAGCCAAGGTTCAGCAGTTGCAGAAATTAATCAAAAGAGAGAAGTTTCACAGTCAAGCAATTGTTGCTAAAATAGAAGTTCTAGTTAAGTAGTCATGAGAGAGCTGCTTTACACAATCTTAGATTTAGAAGAATGACACAGCAGTAATTCTACTTGTGTTTTCTGCCCTGGTTTAAAAAAAGCAGTTTGTCAAATCAGAACACAAAGCAAAGCAACTGGTGAAATGGTTGAAAATGATAAGGCTTGTGAAAACTGTAAAGAGAAGCCTGAAAATGATTAATTTCCTAAGTGTGATTGTGGAAGATTAAAGACTAGATATACTTGTGATTGCAAAGAAGAGAAAATGAAAAAGAACTTCCTCTTTTACCTCATCAAAATGGAGGAATGGCACTTTTTTACAAACAGCAAATAAATGGCTTGCAATAAAAGGAAAGGCAGTTAGAAGAGGAAGTAGATACACACTTGGAAGCCTTAGAAGTGACTGAAGATTGGCATAAAAGACAGGAACAGGAATTATTAGATTGAATTAAGCAATTAGAAAAAGAAAATAAACAACTAAAAGAATTAACTCTGCAAGAATTAATAAAAGAGATCAATGAGTTAAAAACTCAATTAACTCAATTACAACAACAAAATGGTCAATTAATTGCTCAAATTGAAGTTAAAGAAACAAAAAAATGACCTTGATTGAAAATTAAAAATTAACAAAGTTGAAAAAAGTAATTATTTGTTTTATCAAGTTATTCTGCCAGTTTTCTTTTTTTTCTTGATTCTTTACTAGAATTCTCTA